GTGTGTGTGTGTGTGTGTGTGTGTGTGTGTGTGTGTGTGTGTGTGTGTGTGTATTGTGTCCCTGAAACCTAAGAATATTACTAATGGTTTTGACTTTGAGTTTCCCCAAGGTTGATTTCCCTTCTGGACTTCCATAGGCCACAACACTTCCTCTTTGTGGGGAACCGATACTCACCCTTCCAGGCCACAAAAGACTTAAAAAGTTCTCCCTGAAATCTGGGTGGTGGTGGTGGTGGTGGTGGTGGTGCATATCTTTAATCCTGGCACTCAGGAGGCAGAGGCAGGTGTATCTCTGTGAGTTGGGGACCAGCCTGGTCTACAGAGTGAGTTCCAGGACAGCCAGGGCCACGCAGAGAAACCCTGTCTTGGGGGAAACAAAGTTCTCCCTGAGTCCTAGGCACAGCTAGTTCCTATCCCACCCCACCTCCTTCCCGGCAGTGACATGCCTGCACCTTTGATGTGTCTGATCAGCCTCTCACAGTCTTTCACAGAACATGGCTCACAGAGGTATTGGGGAGCGGCTGGCAGGCGCCTGTGTGAGGTATGGGAATGGATTAAGTAAAGGAATGGCAGTGTTCGCGGCTGGATGAAGGCTGAGGCAGGGCTGTGTGCCTCCTCCCGCTGAGCCCTGTCCCCCCCACCCCCACAGGTAGACCCTTCGACCCTCAAGCTCCTATTGTTCGATCCACAACGAGAGTTATCGGGGCCCTGGTGTTTGGCCATCACCTCCTCTCGGAGGAGCCCATCTTCCTGGAACTAATTCAAGCCATCAACCTAGGCCTAGCCTTTGCCAGCAGTATTTGGCGCCGGGTAATTGGCTTTGGGGGAGGCTGGTATGCAGGCCATGGGAATATCTGAATCCAAGTCAGACAGGAGCCTCAGCCAGGGTCTGGCTGGGAGCGTAAACACAGGCAGGAGGTGTGGCTGGGGCTGAGTCTGGCTTCTCCAGGCTCTCATTTCTGTTTAGACAATTTGGGGCTCTCCACATAAAAGGCAGCCCTGAGTTTTTTTTTGGGGGGGGGGTTATTTGTTTTGTTTATCGAGACAGAGTTTCTCTGTGTAACAGAGTCCTGGCTGTCCTGGAATTTGCTTTGTAGACCAGGCTGGCCTCGAACTCACAGAGATCCTCCTGCCTCTGCCTCCCAAGTGCTGGGATTAAAGGCATGCGCCACCACGCTCTGCTCAGCCCCGAGCTTTTTAAGTCAGAGGCCCACTGCATTTTTAGCCCCCAGTGCAGTGCTCAGCTGTCCTGACCCGGGACTGGTGCCTGAGTAGGCTCTGAGTGGGCCATCCTCTCTGTAGCTATACGACATGTTTCCCTGGGCCCTCCGCTACCTCTCGGGGCCCCACCAGAAGATATTTCGGTACCATGAGGCTGTGAAGGGCTTCATCCGCCATGAAATCATCAGGCACAAGCTCAGGGCACCTGAGGCCCCCAAGGATTTCATCAGCTGCTACCTGTCACAAATCACCAAGGTGAGCCTGGCGCGCAGGGATTGGGAGCCTGTGCTCCTGGGGTGTACCTCATTTCTCAGCCATGAGCTCTGCTTCTCACGTTTGACTCATTCTGCAAACTTTTGGGCACCTGGACACTTGGGTTAAGAAAGGGTCTTTCCAGGCCAGGGCTGGCTTCTCTACAGACGGTAGGCTGCAAAGCAGAGGGCATAGATGGAGGGGGCGGAACTCCACGGCAGTCCCCCACTGAGCCAGCCCGGTCCCAGGACTCAGGCCCTCCCTCCAAGGGGTCTCACCCTCAGGGAGCTCTGGTCCTCTAAGTCTTGGGACAAGTCAGATCTTAGGAAGACACCAGGGCTGTGCTCAAGGAACCCTTAGAGTCAGGGCTGTTCTTCCCCCACCCCACCAGGCCATGGCTGACCCTGTCTCCACATTCAACGAGGAGAACCTGATCCAGGTGGTGACTGACCTGTTTCTGGGCGGTACCGACACCACGGCTACCACACTGCACTGGGCACTCATACACCTGGTCCACCACAGAGCCGTCCAGGGTAGGGTGCCCTCAGTTATACCCTGCTTCATGCCCCCATCACTCTGTTCTGTGGCCATGGTGGGGGGGTCCTGTTCTCATCTCTGTGGCACAGGGACATTGACAGATTTGAGTCAGATATGAGGGATTTCAATTGCCAGCCTGTGACTTGCTCCATGACCTTGGGAAATCATTCTGCCTCTCAGAACTGGTGCAGCTGGGGAAGTGTGGCTTCACTCATTTGGTGAATGGCTTCACTCATTCAGGACCTGCCAAGTGCCAGGTTAACGTTAAGATCACAGTTGTGAGGAACAAAGGTAGCTGGAGTTCTCCAAGGAACAAACCAGCCTGTAACCAGCTGTGAGGGCAAAAGTGCCTGCCCTGTGGAGGCCTGGTTTCCCCACATGTCAAAGGAAGACAATAGTTCCTAGGCGATGAGACTCACATCCGGGGCCTCTCCCATGGAACAGCTGGAGGTGGGGTGGGGGTATGACCTCGGGCTGTGAACTTCAGCAGCTGTCTCTGGGTGGAAAACTGGGTGGAGGTGTCCAGTGGGATGGGGTGGGGGGGGCACAGGCATCTCCCCGAGACCCTTACTGAGCCATCTACAGAGAGAGTGCAGCAGGAGCTGGACGAGGTCCTGGGCACTTCTCAGGCCGTCTGCTACGAGGACCGAGAACGGCTGCCCTACACCCGCGCTGTCCTCCACGAGGTGCAGCGTCTTAGCAGCGTCGTGGCTGTGGGTGCCGTGCGTCAGTGTGTGACGTCGACCTGGGTGCACGGCTACTACGTGCCCAAGGTGAGTAGTCTGGAACGGGCCCGTGCCAGACCCAGCACCTGCAGAAAGCACTCCTGCCCAGCACAGCCACTTGCCCCAGCTTCTGTCAACCTGACAATTAGCCGTCATTCAGTCACCTGCGGCACTGGGGAGGTGACTACGGCAGGATGTAGTCACTTATAATCTTAAAGGGTCCTGTGGTTCAGGGGGATTTTAAGATACCTCTTTCCAGTGTTTGTCGTCCACACATATTTCATGTAGTTCTACCATGCACAAGGCCCTAGGTTTAATAGCCAATAATAGAACAATAAGCCAACAAACAAAAGTTGATACTACACACCTGTAATCCCAGAATTCAGGAAATAGAGGCAGGAACATCAGGAGTTCCAGGTCATTTTCAGCTACAGAGTCAAGGTCAGGCTAGACTACATTCTCATGTCTCAAATATCAAAACTAGGGACTGAAGAGATGGACGTGGTCGTCACTGAGGGAAAGTCAAGGCATCGGGAACCTGAGAGAACTGGTACATTATACCCAGTCAGGAGCAGAGAGCAGTGAACCAATGCCCGGTAGTGCCCAGCTCGCTTTTTCTGCCCTTACACAGCCCAGGGTCCTTTGCCTAGGAAATGGTGCTACCTGACCCACTGTGGTTAGGTCTATTCACCTCAACCAATGTAATCAAGATCCCCCACAGCCAAGCCGGAGGCCCACCGCCCAGGTCATTCCAGGTGTTGTTGAGTTGACAGTTAACACTACTCAACACGACGTTTCAACAACTGGGAGACGGGCCCAGCACACGGATGCTCTGCAGGTTGTCTCTGCTCAGACATTCTAAGCGATGGCGAGCTACTAACTGCCATTTCCCGAGGACCCGAGAGAATAGAGGCCCCAGGAGGCAGATGATTCGGGGGGGGGGCGGGGGGGAGGGAAGGCATGATGGCCTTCTATGTGTGGATATCGGGTGTTCTGACTGCTGCTCCACGCACCAAGATCTGTCTGTGCTTTGCAAGGCACCAGATGTCATTTGGGATGGGATACACGAGAGACCACAGCCTCTTTGCAAATGTCCCTTCATCTGAAGGCGATTATTAAGAACTGTTGAGTTGGGCAAGAGAGATGACTCAGCTGTTGAACAAGAATTGATGATTTGGCTGAGGTGTGGCTTAGAGGTAGAGTACATGTGAGCGAAGCCTTGGGTTTATTTCCCAACACCACAGGGGTGGGGGTGGGGATTGGTGATCACAATGCATCTGGCTATTTAATTTCAGGCAGAGACCCAGGCAGATTCCAGCACTGTAAGGGAAAATGTGCAGCTTACTCGGGCGCTAGTGGGAACCTGTGCCTCCCCAGCACCTCTGTGTAGAGTCACAGAGTGAGCGGGTCTGGGTGTCTTACTGGTCCAGATGGCCTCAGCCCGGCCTCGTCCCTCAGCCCAGGTAGTGCAGCAAGCTCAGCAACACCCGCTGGAACCCTTGTAAACTCAGCCCCCTCTGCAGTCTCCATCAGCGTTTGCTTGGGATGCAGAGTTCAAATTCTTCAGATGTTTTTGTTTTGGTTTCGTTTTTAAACCTAAAGCTCTCCTTGTCAAAACCAAGAATCCTGCAGTCAGTCTCCTGGTGCCCATGGGATATTTGGCCTCGTTCTATGGAACTGAGAAATAAGCCATAGGGTAGGAAGCCTTCACCAGAATCCTGAAGCTGAGTATCCAAAGACCTAGGGCCATAACTAACCCCCATTCTTTGCCTGGACCTTTTTATTGCCTCCCTTCTTATTCCCCGCCCTCCTTTCCTTCCCGTGCTGGGACTCCAGGGTTAAACTCAGGCCCTAGTGCATGCTGGGCAAGGGCCAGACCACCGAGCTGTATCCCTAGCTGCATCCAGGGTTTCCCTTTAGCCCAGGGCCCACATGGAAAGGCCTGTAGGTTATTTGGGCTGAAGCCTTTGGCCCTTGGTGCTCCCCCTTGCTCAGAGTCAGAGATTGTGACTCTGTCCAATCACACATCTGTTTCACTTGTGAGACAGACTGGGCTCTGGGTTAGGGCTGCAGGGTAGCTAAGGTCACAAGTAGGGCTACGGTGAAGGTGAGGACATATCCACGGTCTCCTCTCCCCAGTCCTAACCAGTCAAGTTTCCATCTACAGCTCGGCTCTACATTTTCTGTCTTTCCAACACTTGCTCTTCCCCTCCCCCACACCTTTTCAATCTCTCCATTCTCTTCTTCCCTTCCACCATGGAGGGCAGCCATGAATCCAGAGGCATGAGACTCACCTCCTTAGTGGGTGTGTGCCCGGAGGGAGGGCCACTGAGGGTCTGCCCGCTAGATCTCCCTGGGTCCTGGGCACCCTGGACACCCTCACCCATATACTGCAGTTACTTTAGCCCTGGGCCAAAGCTGGGTACTGGGCAGTCTGAGCCTCCATGAGCTACACCAGCTCTTCTCTGCAGGGTACCATCATCTTGCCCAATCTGGCCTCTGTGCTGTATGACCCCGAGTGCTGGGAGACCCCTCAACAGTTCAACCCTGGCCACTTCCTAGACAAGGATGGAAACTTCGTGGCCAATGAGGCCTTCCTGCCCTTCTCTGCAGGTATCAGGCACAGTGCTGGGTCCTGGAGCGGTAGGTGGGAAGGTAATTGGGACAGACACAGTCCCCGGCCACCCTCTGACCTCTCCCTCTGCCTCCAGGGCATCGGGTGTGTCCTGGGGAACAGCTGGCCCGAATGGAGCTCTTCCTGATGTTTGCTACCCTCCTCAGGACCTTCCGGTTTCAATTACCAGAAGGGAGCCAGGGCCTCAGGCTGGAATATGTCTTTGGGGGGACACTGCAGCCTCAGCCCCAGAAGATCCGTGCCGTGCTTCGCCTGAGCAGCCTCAGCCCTAGAGAGGAGGGCCTGTAGTCACCTAGGAGTAAGCAGACCTGCCACTCCAGCCCGCCCCCTGCCCTCCCCCCAGACACACACACACAAAGATCTGCATGCAGTCTGTCAGCCCTAAAAACCAGAGACTAGGAAGATGTGGGGTTTTACCGAGATCAGCTGCCCATAGTTCTCACACAAGCTCTGACCTTAATCCCAGAAAATGGACTTAGCAAGGATCCAGCAACAGTAACTGGGTTAGGGTGGCTTGGTTCTTAGAGTAGGATAATTATGTTTTGGCAGGGAAGGGTTTTATAATATTTGGTAAGGTTTGACACTGAATCAGTTTGCATAGACCATTTGGGGCAAATCTGATGTCACAATGTAATAGCCAAGAAGATTCAAAGGGAAAGGCTTTCCCACAATACTGTAAACAGTAGTGCATGCAAATGCTGGGTTCTGGTAACTGGTGGGGTGGGATAGGCTGGGGTGGGGTGTGTGTGGGGGGGGGAAGCACACATCCTTTTCTGTCCTCTTCCTGCTCTCTTTGGACCCGAGGGAAGAAGTAGCTACATATGTTGTCTAGATAACTGTTCCCATCGTATTTTCCATCAGGGACCCCAGATCTACTTTTCTTGAAACTTGGTCACTGCTAGAGTGCTCACACCCCGCTCACACCCCGCTGGTCACTGCTAGAGTGCTCACACCCCGCTCACAC